CGCCTCCGCTGTTATCAGGTTAGTGTTAGCCGCGGTGCTGGGGCTCGGGATTCCAAGCGGAGCTGGTTGAGCTCTCAAAGTCCCTCACCGCGCTGGCTTTGGGGGGGTCTTCAGTGGTGTCAATACAAAAGAGGAGCTGAGCAAAGCGAGAGACTCCTGCTAACCAGGGACATGGACATGAAGAAAAGGATCCACTTAGAGCTGCGGAACAGGACGCCCTCAGATGTAAGCAATGCAAAAAAAAATCCATCCCACATTTTGGGGGGTGCATTAAAATGATTAGAAAATGTAGGGGTGCAGCTGGAATAGGGAACGCGCTGTTGTCCTTGAGGTGCCTACCGGTGTGTGGATGTCTCCGTGCACCTAAATTGGGGTGCCCAAAGGCGCACGCGTTATGGTCTAGGGGAAAACTAAGCTGCTCCCGAGTCTGCTGGTGTGAAATGCATTCAAGGAGCTTGCAAGGCATTAAATGAAAATAAGTTGGTGGCTCTCGCTGGCTGGTTTTGTTGGCAAATATTTGCTGTCCTTGAGGTGCCTACCGGTGTGTGGATGTCTCCGTGCACCTAAATTGGGGTGCCCAAAGGCGCACGCGTTATGGTCTAGGGGAAAACTAAGCTGCTCCCGAGTCTGCTGGTGTGAAATGCATTCAAGGAGCTTGCAAGGCATTAAATGAAAATAAGTTGGTGGCTCTCGCTGGCTGGTTTTGTTGGCAAATATTTGCACGGAGTGTTGGGCAGGGAGGGAGCGTGAGGGAGTTGAAAATGGTTTAGTTTAAAGTGCGTCTTCATTTCTTTGCAGTGATCAGGCAAGAGAGACTGGGGAGCCATATTTGTAACTTTGTAGTCCTCATGAACGCGCCCTTTCTCTCTCTCCCTCTCTCCAGATGCTGAGAAGACAAAAAATAGGATTTTTAAGCAAACCTTCAGTGGTTTTAAAAATCGGAGCCAGCTGACAATATCGCAAGCTTTTAATTTTTAAAAAATGCCCCAATAAATCCACTCTCCACCCTCTCTCCATCCACACACACACAAAAAGGCTGGATGGTTTTTTTTTTCCTTGGGGCTGGACTTAGGTTGTTGTTCAGCGTCTGACTGAATAAACGAGAACAAGAAAGTTTGTCAGGACAAAAATAGACCGTGGCTGGTTGGGCACAAATTATGCAGACAAGAGAAAACCTAGTTACCTCTCCTCCTTTTTCTGTTTGTCTCTTACTGTTACCGCAGCGATAGCAATCGAAAGGCGAGAGGGGTGGGGGTCACCCAACTTGGGCAGACCCCCTAACCTCTTGCCAAATGCACCCAAGGAGAAATTAAGGTTGCTTCTGTGTAGGGGTGGGTGGGGGTGTTCTCTTGCGATGGGAATTTGGTGTTTTGTGCTGCGCAAAGGTGACCGGAGGTCTCTCCTCCTTAATCATCGGTGCATGGGATCGTTGCAAGTGCCTTTTCCTACCTTGGGAAGTTTGTGCAATTAACACACAGTAAAAAGCCAGTCTCTGGGGGAAACCCTCCCCTCCAAAACAACCGATCCCACACATGTGGCCATGGATTTTTAGAAGCCAAGACCGAAGAGGGCATTATATAATGGCTTAAATACTAAGTTTATTTGCGGGGAAGGGGAGGTGTTCTCCGGCTCGGTTTCCCTCTTGCAGACCAGACAGCTTTGAAAGGCGCTGGACGTAGATAGGAGTGAATAAACACATACCTTTCCAGAAATCAAAAGTATCCCAGGGGGCCTGGGGGAAAACTGCCCCGCACTTTTCCTGTTGCCAGTAAAATGTCTGACGGACAAAGCTGGGCGGATTTACGTAACCTTCGCTTTAAACTTTAAAAAGTATTGAGGGGGGAGGGAGGGAGTGTGTATGGAGCTGGCTAGTGGGTCAGACACCTTCCCTTGTATCTGAGCAGCAACACCTATTAATACAAAGTGCTGTGTGTGTGTGTGTGCGTGTGTGTGCGTGCAGGTTGCTGCATGAGCGGGGCTGCTCGTGCTCCCTTGTGTTGCACCGCGTGTATGTGCCAGCTAGCTCAGTACAAGAGGGCTTGTTTGTGAGAGCCCTGCAAAGAGGACAAAGAGCAAACGGAGGAGCTTCCTAATGAGGGGCCTCTGTCCCTACATCTCTGCCGGGGAGCTGAAATATTCCTCCCTCCCTCCACCCCATGAAATCATTCCCAACTTTGTATCCTCGCGTTGGCAGCGCCACACTAAACCTGAAGTAGGACAAGACGCCATGTTTTTTCCATCGAGCTGCAAAGGAGAAAAAGGCTGGGGTATGAAACCAAGGCGATTTATGCTTTAGGATCCGTGCGAACACCCCAAAGGAGGGAATTCTTAAAGCCACCAGCGGTGCAGTTAGCAAACATTCCTTGTGAAATTCTGGAGGGACTTGAGGGGGGTTGCTTTAAATGGTAATGCGTGTTACAGCCTAAAATGAGAAGCTTTCATAGGTCTGCAGTTTCCTATTAATGATTATTCGGTGGGGAGGAGAAATGCTTCGTGTTTTGTTCGAGGGCAGGTCGAAGAGGTGGAATGGTGGCGGTTAGGGCGGCTGACGGAAGCAATGAGGGCGCACGGAGGGCTCGCTCTGTGTGTGTGTAACATGACTGCCAGCATTCAGGTCTGCCATTTTGTCACTGTTTTGTCACAGAGGGGGGAGGGGAGAAGGTTGTTTTTAAAGAAGATAACAATCTTATAGTCCGATTCCCAGCCAGGCACGACTAACGGCGTGTTCGAACCCGAATCCTGCTGCAGTGGGGCTGATGTGGCCGGGGAGGGGTCTTCAGGGAGGGAGGCGGGCATGTATGGGTGCGTGTCTGTGCAAAGGGGAGTGCTCGCTTGTTCCCCTGCACAAACGGCTCTTGGGGAGCGCGGACTCGGGAGCCTGTATCTTTAAATGGAACCTTGGCGTCTCGAAATGGAACGTTGTGTTCGCGAGCGTTCCGCGGGGCGGTGACGAACGTTCGGGGGAGACTGGAAGGCCGGTCGCACGCTCGCCAGGAGCGCCTGGCTGCATCGCCCCGTTCCGCTCGGCGCCGGCGCGGGCTGGGCCTGGCGACCCGCCTGGGCTTGTGCCTTGTCCCGTTTCCCACCCGAGCTGCTGCGCGGGAGCTGGAAGAAGCGAGCAGACCTAGCAGGTCGTATGCACAGTGGGTTCCGGATGGCGATACACTCACTGCCTGCTGCAGCCGCGATATGGATGAGTCGGGAATATGCCTTGTTCCTGGGCAGGGCCCTGCGGGAAGGTAGGTCTTGAGGGTTCCCCCCCCCCCTGTGGATTATGTAGCAGTAACCGTTTAGCGCCGCTTGAGGTTTATCTTCCCCACCACCACCATCACCATTTTTAACAAGGATGCTGGCGGTAAAAAATTTCTCCAGAGTGCTGCACGGCACGTTTTGGCGACAGGAGTGTTAAGCCGAATGTGGTTTACTTCCCTCCCTGCTGGGTTTTTGGTTTAGGAAAGTAACACGAAGAGACTTTCTTTGATTGGGACAGTGTTTCTTTGCACTTGCATAACTTGATCTTTGGTGGGTAAAGACACCCTGTCCCATATGGTAGAAATGTAGTCTTTAAAGTGCTACACAGTCCTGTTTTTTGTTTCACCTGCCCCGTATGGTCAGTCATAAAGTGTGCCTTATCTAACTTGGTACCTGCTGTCACCTGTTTCAAGTCTTTTTTCTTTGGTTCTGAATGAACTCTCCCATGCAAAGGCGATAATCAAAACTGTTCCAGATTTCATTATGCAAATGTATTGTAAATACGATTGGGAGAACGATACTTGTCGATATTGCGGTTTTTACCAGCCAGATCCAAAGGGGACACAGTAGCGAGGCCAGCACATCCTCATGTCGGGGAGTAATAAAATTTACAATGGGGGGGCTTGCCACTCTTCAGACTATCCCTTGAAATCTGATTTCTTGACTCTGTGCCTTTGGGCACTAACTAGAGGGGCAGACTGAATTTTAAAAGTAATGATTGCTTGTTCCATCCACAACTTGGTGCAGATTGTGTATTTCAGTATAGACAGACCAGTGAAATTAAATGAGATAGTTCATTAGTCTGGGAGTTTTACATAGGTTAAGATGATGCAGTATCTTCAGTAAGCGGCAGTACATATTTGCATCATAATCCATATTTTAACAGTGTCTGGCCATTAAAAGAAACCAACTCTGGTTTTGTAAAGAAGGCCAATTTTTTCTAAGTCAATTGAACTGCAGCTGAGCCATTTGTGCTTTGGTATCCACACCACAGGCTGTGTTGTTCATCTTGACAGGGTTAGGGTTTTGCAAATCAAGAGCAGTGGTGAAGCAGTGTACCAGAATTTCATTACTTTTGTGGGTTTATGGTAATGTTCTGCAGGCTTTAGAGTGATGTACTATCATTCTTGTTTGAAATGCTGCTTAATACCGTGTAACAGAGCTGGTTACTCTGAGCGGTTAAATCTTATAATCCTGCAGGTTTGGTATACATATTAATTAACAAAAGCATATATTGCAAGTGTATTTAAGGTGGAATGCACAGGGGCCCGATTTTCTCCAGCACCCCTTTTCTTTGTGTTTGTTTTAATTTGAATTTAGTGCTGATGAAAGGTGCCAGATTGATAGTACAATACCTGAAATTATTTTTCCTATGTATTGTACTGTTGATGGCTGTGTAGTTTTTCTGAAGGTCCCTCCCCTCATGGCCATGCTGCCACTGGGCTAGGCCTCCAGTCTGCCCCTGCTACCCACCTGCTGCTGTCAGGGCCAGAGCACCTTACCCGGTGATGCTTATCAGTTATGGTGAACCCATAGGGGATGGAGCAGCCCCCCACCCGCCATGGGCAGGGGGCTGCTCCAGCCCCACAGGTCCCCCACGGGTGGGGGCGCTCCAGCTGGGGCAGAGCAGCCTCCATCCATGATTAACTGGTTAAGCATAAAGTTTAATCAGTTAACTAATTAAATGGGATTTTACATCCCTAACATGTACACATCTAAGCTCGTATCTACCCTCGGAGTCTTCTGATGTAAAGACCTGTACACTTGGAATTAGAACAGATTATCTCATAGGTTACTACAGAGCCATCAGAAGGCACTGTAATTAATGAACTAGTAGAAGCTTTTGTGGGCAGATTTTTGGGCACTCCTGTTTATTTGTATTGTAAACAGCCTAATTTGTTAGCTAAATACAACAGCTGTAAAGCAAATTATCAGTATTCCGGTTCTGGCTGGCTATGCAACATAGACCTTGT